TTGTATCTTGTCTCAATCCGCTCCAGGGGTGTGTGTGTGTGCAACACTTGGATTACATAATCCAAATCCACCATGTTCCGTCATTCCTGTTTACTCGAGAGATCTTATCTTGGTTCGACCGTGCGAGTTTGAGCGTTTGTGTGTGTGTGTGTGGTCTTTGATACGATCAGATAACTGCCTTGTCGTTTCTCCTGCATGAATGACACAACAAGTGCACCTCAATAGGTAGATAGTCATAGATGAGGTCAACATAGGTAGCTCATCTTTTTGTGGCGGTCTTGGGTGTTCGGTGACGTAAAGTGCTCATGTCTTGGACCGGTGGCATACGAGTGGATATTATTTATTGTCCTGATCTCTCTGTAGAAACTCGGAAATTTTCGAATGTGTTTCCATAGATGAGAGAACATATTTCAGAATTGTTTGTGCACACGTAAACCCAAGAATCGATATCGCGCTCAGAAAACAATCACAATCAACTGACCTACATAAAACGCTGATTGATAATCCCCGGGGTTGATTACGTAAGATTTTCAAATCCCGATTTGGTTAACCAACAAAGTAAACTAGGGGGAAAGCATGGATACAAAAGTAGAAAAAGTGAATGACTTTTGGAGTATGAAATTATCTGAACTTTTCCGAATTGAAAATGGTAGACACCGCAGTTCTTCAACCAAGATGACCAATGAAAAGTTACTTCGTTAATGGCCAAGTTCATACAGTCTGTGGGAAAAGATACAAAACAGAACCGATAGAAATATCGGACACATTTTTTAACACATCAGGACCAAATGATGTTGGGAGTGTATCGCAAAAATCGATGCGCCGTGTGTTATTTCATTGTGAGTGTTAAAATGTTAATAACACAGCCCACCCCTCACACAGGTCAGGTCAAGGTCAAGGTCAAGTTAAGCTCTATGCCCCCGATAATATGAATTTTCAGCACCGTCAACAAGTTATAGTAAGAAAAAGAAGAAATATGCATTTTCCCCCTCGTTTTCAGGGATTCGTATTCATGCCAATACATCTCAATATATGACAAATATGCATTTACCAAACGAAGAACAAACCGATGTAATAAAATCCTAATGTGACGGATGATTATTCAAGTCAGTGATAATATTTGCTCGGTTGGCCAAGACACGAGCAAAATAAGGGACCATGTTGTTTTATTTGTGGTAGTGCGTGCACAAAGAATCCCAAATTTGGAACGCTTACTTGGATGAGACACCGATTTATTGTGATGGACATGCAGGCAGTATACGGCTGATAAATCGATCACATGGATCAAAATGCTTGCTCACAAAACATTGCTGAGCTTTTTTGCATCATTTTCTGTTGACGAAAGTGACCACTCCACCACCTCTGTGAAGGAAGTTTGAATTACGATCGCCTCAAAATATGTCAAATCCATCAAGATGCACGACATTGTCCTCAATGTCAGGATGTAACCCGCTTTCCTGGAGTAGAATTACCCCTACATTCTTGCATTCCTTTTGGTGTATCATCGAGTTTTCCGATGAGCGAACGAATGTTACATGAAACGGTCACACAGTTACACGAAACGGTCAAATTATCAACAGAACGCCGCCTAAGTGCCACATGCCAGCCAGCATGGTGTTTTTTATGATGTCCTTGAGCAGAGTTTTGCAGCCATTTGAAGCGATTTCTCACAGAATGGGCAAAAACCAGAAACATGTTTCTGCGCGATAAACTGCAAGGATTTCAAAAATATGGCGTTGTAGGATAACATTTGACCTTGAGAATTTCACGAGTTGATTCGAAAGTGATGACCACGCGTTCCTTCACTGTAACTTTACAGAATAATATCCGACAAAAATAAGGCTCGGCCAAATTCAAAGGCCCCGCGCAATCCTTGGTCTGTCGCCGATGAAATATCCGTTGACTTGCGATCCTTTCCTCTGTGTCATTTGATTGTAAAACCTGCCTTGAGAACCACGGTAACCGAAACGTCGGCAACTATAATTCTCTACCGACATCGCTGTATTATCAACATTATAACATACACGATCCGACTCCAGCTCAGGTAGGGCCACATGATTCGAGATTGAATTGTTAGTAGAGGGACTGAGAAGAAAAACTTTGATGCAGTGAAATGCAAGGCGACGGTGGTTGTGTGTTTTTAGATTTTGAGTTCAAATCCCGCCGCTGTCAACTATCTTGTCTATTTCTATAATTTCCGCACACAGCCTTTGTCTGACCGCAACCCCCCTTACTGACAGCTGACGGTATGATTGCATACTCATTTTATGAAAAAAAACAAGTAAAACAATTAATAGACAAAGATTTATTTTCTACCTTGGACATGAATAAATCCGCAAATAAAGGACCGAGCGGGGATCCCACTGCGGCTCCATCCTTTTGGCGATGGATTTCTTCATGGAACTTAAACTGAACGTTCTGTGTGCAGAAGTACAATAGCTGTTTCAAGTCATTCAGGGGTATTGCAATTTCGATATTCTTTTCCTGCTTTCGGTCACATACTGGTCTCTGCGATAGAAACACTAGTGAAAAGTAGGCGAACGTCCATGTATATCATTCGTTGGCCATCCACATTCACGTTTCTGATTACATCTATCAAGACGAAAGAGTCCCGTAAAGTGTGGGTGGCTCTCACTGGATCCGAAATTATCACAAGTCATTTGACTATTGGATGATATGGGGAATTACACATGTCTAAAATTGGCCTGAGAGGTGTTCCATCTTTGTGTGCTTTGAGTAAACCATATAATCTTGGGATTATCGTTCTAATCGATCAGATCAGTTCTAACGTGTGTGCATTTATGACACCCTTTTTGCTTTAGAATTCCGATTATCTTTGACAGTTTCTGCTCTACCTGTTCCGTTTTATCCTTTTCTCCGGTTATGTTGAAATTTGTGTTGTCACTGGGTATGTTATTCATCTTGGATACGTAGTCTGATCTGTTCAGTGGAACAACTCCTGTGCCCTTGTCTGGTCTACACAGAATTACATCATGATTATTTCTCAATGCCTTTAATCGTTCTCGGTGATGTGGTGTCACTCGAGTTTTGATCACCGGTTTGCTACCGAGAAGATAATAGCATGTGTTCACTTGTGTGGATTTCAGCCGGGCCACAGTTTGCGATGAAGGAGGCGATAAATCTGACACTTGTGCGAAAAGGTTTTTGTCCTCTGCTTCTAGATCCAGTTGTCTAGTTCTTCCGATTGTACAACATAATTGAGGTCCTAGAGACAGAACTTCGATCAACAATTTGTCTAACTTTATAGACGAAAAATTGTGCACATATCTTTCAGGATTAGTTGGGAACTCACTGATGGGTTTCGCAGGATCTAATCGTTTTCGTGGAATATTGCGCTTTCGTTCGATTTGTTTTCTCGCCACTGATTCCACGAATGACCTGAAACGATTCAGTTCCTCGTACGACAGAGAATACAGAACGTGAGTGGATTTGGCAAAGTCTCTACACAGGTCCTCGATACGTCCGACCATTGTGTTCTTTTCATTCAGAGCTTATGATGGTTTGGTATGTGATACAGATTCGATTCCTTCTCAGAGTCTTAAAATACAGTTTGGGGAACTGGGGTTTTTCCATACATTCCCTGATGAACTAACTCAACACAAGTTTCCGCTACTGCCAATTTCGTACGAAGCTCAACAACACTTCACGTAGTACAATAGACTCTTTGGCTTGTTTGAATTACCGCAATATACCAGCAACACACGATGAATGAAAACGCAGTTCAGCTAAAATGCTTTTTTCGGTGATTTATCAACTGGCCAATACGGCATATTTTGTATAGAAAAGAGGGGACAAAATTAAAGATTATTCCAATGGAAATTATTATTATTATTATTATTATTGTTGTTGTT